CGCTTGTCGGCAACCCTGCGACGAGGGGTCGGCAGCACACGGAGAGGCCAGGCTCTGGCGGCGCGCCCGTGCCTTTCCTTTGTCTCGGGAGGGGGGGGGGCGACGCCAAGGCCTCCAAGACGCCTCAAGACGACCCAAGAGGGCCCCAGGACGGCCCAAAAGGGCCCCAAAACGGCCGAACAAGGGCCCCAGAAGGGCCCCAGAAAGACCACCCCCACGAAGGCCCAGAGACGCGGAATAAAAAAGCGATCGGTGAAGCAAAAAGCTCTTCACACCAAGGCTCCCAACAGCGGACGGTGACGTGACAAACTCGCAACGCCAAGGCTCCCAAGAGCGAACGGTGACGTAAACAACTCTCGGGCAGGACAGCAACTTCCAGTTTAGAGAAGCAGCTCACGTGGCTGGTTCTCCCAGCGCCTCCTGGCGATGGGAGGAGCCGATGCATCGAGGAGTGGGCCCGGCGGCGGGGCGGAAACCAGCTGTATGCAGCACAGATCATTGAGCACGAGCGCAAGTGCAAGCAGGCAGTCAAGCGCAAGCATGAAAACCCGGCGCAGTGCGGCAGCAGTAAGCATCAGGAAGCAGCAGGCAGCAGCAGCAGCAGCAGCACCGTGCAACCTGAGCGAGCGCAGTGCAGCAGCAGGAAACCAGCCGCAAGCAGGCACATGGATGGAGACCCGGCCAAGCACAAGCAGTCGCAGAGCACCGAGTCCGAGCAGATACCCCCCGACTGCGCGAGGACCCGCCCAAACCAGACCCAAGATGGCTCCAAGACAGCCCCAAAGCGGCAGCCCACAGGGGCCCACGAGGACCCCGGAGAGGACCCAAAAAGGGAGCGAAGGTGGGCCCGAGGCGGCACGGCAGCCTCCTGCGCGGCCCGAGTGCGAGCACTCCCGCGCTGGGCCGCAGCACCACCCTGTCTGCCATGGGCCCGCACCTGGGCCCGTTCGGGCCTCGTCTTGGGGGCGAGGCCCAGAATCGTCGAAGGCCGGTCCCGGATCTCGGCCAAAAGAACGGTGGCGAAAGCTGCACATGCTGGAAAAAAAAAACTCCCTGGGGGACCCCGAAAGTGAGCCAGGAGAGGCGCCTGGTCGACCCCCATGAGGCTAGGATTGTGGATGCCATGACAATGGACACCCTAACAATCCGATCATTGGATTAAAGATGTACTTAAAATGTTTGAAAATGTGCTTAAAATGTCTAAAGCATGTCTTTTACATGTTTAAGACATGTTTTAAACATGCTTTGGACATCAGGAAATGATTTGGCAACATGCTTCCTTTCCCCTGATCCTCGTCCACAAGGCTGAGATGATTTAAACATGCCTGGAGGTTTCGCAAGGTTTTTGAAGGCACCAGAGTTGCTGACGAGGTTGGGCCCAAGAGGCGCTCTGGAAGGCCCTCTCGTCGGTGCTTGAGGCCAACAAAGGGCCCCCAACGGGGCCAAAATGGAGCCTAGATGCGGCCTGAAAGCTTACTGGAAACGGTCTGAACTTCGAGCTCGTCTTGGACGCCATGTGGAACCGTCATGGGGACCCAAAAAGGGATGGGATGCAGCCGGGCGGCGGAATGGCGGAGGCCTCTGGAAGGGGAAAAAGGGGGTCTGAAGCCTTGGAAGGAGCTCTCACACTTGAGTCTCACACGCCCCTCAGGGCAGTGGGAGTTATGACTGCACTCCTAGACTGTGGCCCCCACTCCCTGTTTCTCTTGCTGGCATCCCCCAGGCAGGCAGAAGTCATTCCTGAGCAAGCAGGATGAAGAGGAGGAAGAGGAGGAAGAGGGTGTGTTGCCGTGCGCTTTGCAGTGCCATGCACATACTTGTCGTGTTCTCTTCACGACGTTGCCAACCAGAGCTCCCGATTCCATTCGCAGGACCAGCATTGCATCGCGGGTCGTTTTCTGACGGCCACAGGGCCCTGCAATGGGCTTCTTGAAGCAGAGTTTTTGGAAAACTGGCCGTCCGATTTTTCTTGGTGTGGGAGGTCTGGGTCGTGGAGCCGTGCGTGGTGTCCCGAGGTCCGGGGTGCGCAGCCCAGTTCTGCGTGGTTCTCTGCAGTGGTGCGCGCGGTGTCGTGTGCGCTGCCCGTGGCGGCCCTGATGTCGTGCAGAGACGCCGCGCGGCAGTGCAGCGTGCCGTGCCCCGAAAGGTCGACAGGACGAGAGGACAAGGCTTGTCTGACCTCTTTGCGACGACACTGCCCCAGACCACTGTTTCGAGCTTCGGGGGCCAAGGCCCACGCCTTCTCACATGCAGGAAGGAGCCCTCGGCAGCTGCGCTCAGTGTAGGGGCGCGCAGATCTACGCTGGCGCTTCTCAACAAGATGGATCTGCGGTGGCCCTCAGGGAGGGGCCTCAGGAGGCCGAAGCTCCAAAGAGCTGTCATCACTGGGCTTTGCACGGCGCCAGGGGCATCGGCCCCGTGTCCCATGATCCGGGTCAGAGGGTCGTGCTGGGCTCGGACGGCTCATCCGCCGCCGTGCCCTACTCCGCCGGAGCCCATCAACGTCCTTCCTCTCCCCTCTCCCACCTCCCCCCCACACACACACACACACAGACACACACTCTTTTTGCGTCGGCGGCTGGGCAGAGTCACTGCGCTGGCGATGAAGCGAATGTAGGATGTACAGTCGGTAAACCACACACACACATTTTGCGTCGGCGGCTAGGCAGAGTGACTGCGCTGGCGGAAGAGGCATAACGTGGCAAACGGTACGCGACTTGAACCACCAACACAGACACACACACACACACACACACATCCCCTGCGTGTTCGACCATCGACTCCTTGTTGCCCACCTCCCCCACACACACACTTTTTGCGTCGGCGACTAGGCAGAGTCACTGCGCTGGCGATGAAGCAGATGTAGGATGTACAGTCGGTAAACCACACACACACATTTTGCGTCGGCGGTTAGGCAGAGTGACTGCGCTGGCGGAAGAGGCATAACGTGGCAAACGGTACGCGACTTGGACCACCAACACAGACACACACACACACACACACATCCCCTACGTGTTCGACCATCGACTCCTTGTTGCCCACCTCCCACACACACACACTTTTTGCGTCGCGCTAGGCAGAGTCACTGCGCTGGCGATGAAGCAATGTAGGATGTACAGTCGGTAACCCACACACACACACATTTTTGCGTCGGCGGGTAGGCAGAGTGACTGCGCTGGCGGAAGAGGCATAACGTGGCAAACGGTACGCGACTTGGACCACCAACACAGACACACACATCCCCTACGTGTCGACCATCGACTCCTTGTTTGTGACCATCGACTCCTCCCACCTCCCCCACACACACACACACTTTTTGCGTCGGCGACTAGGCAGAGTCACTGCGCTGGCGATGAAGCAAATGTAGGATGTACAGTCGGTAAACCACACACACACACATTTTGCGTCGGCGGCTAGGCAGAGTGACTGCGCTGGCGGAAGAGGCATAACGTGGCAAACGGTACGCGACTTGGACCACCAACACAGACACCCACACATCCCCTACGTGTTCGACCATCGACTCCTTGTTGCCCACCTCCCCCACACACACACACTTTTTGCGTCGGCGACTAGGCAAAGTCACTGCGCTGGCGATGAAGCAAATGTAGGATGTACAGCGGTAAACCACACACACACACACACACACATTTTGCGTCGGCGGCTAGGCAGAGTGACTGCGCTGGCGGAAGAGGCATAACGTGGCAAACGGTACGCGACTTGGACCACCAACACAGACACACACACATCCCCTACGTGTTCGACCATCGACTCCTTGTTGCCCACCTCCCCCACACACACACTTTTTGCGTCGGCGACTAGGCAGAGCCACTGCGCTGGCGATGAAGCAAATGTAGGATGTACAGTCGGTAAACCACACACACACACATTTTGCGTCGGCGGCTAGGCAGAGTGACTGCGCTGGCGGAAGAGGCATAACGTGGCAAACGGTACGCGACTTGGACCACCAACACAGACACACACACACACACACACATCCCCTACGTGTTCGACCATCGACTCCTTGTTGCCGACCGGCCCTGAGCGGTCTTCGGCGGTCTTCGGCGGGCTTCTGGCGGTCATCAGCGGCCTTCTGCAGGGACTCGGCGGTCAGAGGGCGGTCTCTGGCGGTCTGCGGCGCCAGGCTGGACGGCTGCGGTCAGCAAGGGCCCCAGGATCGAACAGGCAGCATCCCCATCACCGTCTTCCCTTCCTCCTGCCCCCCTTCCTCCTCCTCCTCCTCCTCCTCCTCCCCCTCCTCCCTCTCCTCCTCCCCCTCCTCCTCCCCCTCATCCTCCTCTTCCTCCCCCTCCTCCTCCCCCTCCTCCTCCTCCTCCTCCTCCTCCTCCTCCTCCTCCTCACCACCACCACCAGGATCGAACACGCAGCGTCCCCATCACCCTCTTCCCTTCCTCCTGCCCCCCTTCGGTGCCCGGACAAAAAAAAGTGTCCACACCCATGGCGGGAAGGCGATGCAACATGGTAAAAACCACAACTCCGAAATGCCCTTACTTCGCACCCCCCCCCCACCAAACCCAAAGTTGAACTATCCACACTTTGTCCCTGGCCTTTGGCCTACCGCCTAAGCCCGTCAACTTCGAATGCAGGAGAAGGGGGGTATACATGCTGGTCTGACGTACTTTAACGACTTTAGGAGGCAACTACTGGGAGGTTTTCGTCGGAAAGATTAAGGAGGATTAAGCCCCATTTGGGAGCTGTTACGCCGGAGTGGGCCTCAGACTAAGCAGGATTAAGCCGAATCAAGCGGAATTAAGCGGGATGAAGCCGGATTCAGCGGGACGAAGCTGGATCAAGCCGGATTTCGGACCATGGCGAAAACAGAATTTGACCTCCCAGGAGCTGCATCCGAAATGACTGAAGGCCTCGGCGGAACACGCGTGGCCACTCTCAGTCCACCCACCGCTCCTCCGCCGAGGGCAGGCCACGGGCTTGCGCCGCCGCCTGCCACCCCGGCGGCGCTCCCGCCCGCCCGGGAGAGGCGGCCTTGGGCGGTGAAGTTCCCCTGGTCCTCTGGCCCCCGGTGGACCTGCAGGAAGCTCCTGGCCCCCGTGTCCTCGGGGGAGACCAAACGCGCGACGCACACGCTTCCCCCAAAGAGGGCACGCGCGCGAGCCCGCGCGCCGCGGGTGCGGTCGCCCGAGGGGCGGCGGCGGCCGCGCAGGAGACGGCGACGGCAACGGCCCGCAGCGCTTCTTGGCCGCAAATCGCGGCAGAGGCGCCGCGGGGGCTCGCTCGTCCGACTCGGGGCGACCGCTGGGCAGCGACGGTGACGTGGCGGCGATGGAGGAGGGCGACGGAGGGGCGCTCGGCGACCTCGCCTCAGCCACGAAGCGGTCTGGGAGCGAGGACCCACAGCTCCCACCTCTGCGTCAGCGAGCCGCCGGAGCGCCCAACTGGCAGGTCGCATCGGCCACACTCGGGATGCCGAGCGCTCTCGAGGAGGCGAGACTAGAAGAACAAAAAACGGCATAAACATCAACTTTTGACGGTCCGACCAGATTTCTTGGATCTGAGCAGAACCCCCTTTCCTGGCGCGCGGAGCGCGCCAGGGGCGGCGCCAGACGCGCCGCCAGGGGGGGCCAGAATCCGCGAGGAGCGTCAAAAAATATTATTTGTTGTGCCGTTTTTTCCTCCTTCGAGGGACGAGATCTGGTGCCAGATCGCAGCGAGGCCGAGAAAAGATCACGGGCTCAACCGGTCGTACAGCGGAGGCCAGCCCGCAAGAGACCTTCCACAAGAAACCCGACCCCGAGACCCCAGGACGTCCATTGGCTTGTGGTGTGGGAACGTCGCGCTCTCTTTCTCTCTCTCTCTCTCTCTCTCTCTCTCTCTCTCTCTCCATCGCAAAGCCATAGAGACCCAAAAACCCCAGGGCACCCTGGAGGCAAGCAGGGTGCTTCTTGGCGTGGGCCCCCACGGGAGGGCGCGAGAGCGCGACGCCGAGGCGCCGCAGACCGGCGCACGCGCGCGCCACGTCGGCGCCGCGCCGCGCCGCCACGAAGAGGGGGCGAGGTGCCGCGCGGCGCCGCGCCGCACGGGCCGGGGGGCGCCAGGCGCAACTTCTCCGACGTCGCTCCCTGGGGAACGTTCGGTGGCCACTCACGGGAGCCTCCCATACCCTCTTGTCGGCTCCTGCGAGCCGACGCTGAATCGACGCGAATCGACGCTCACCGACGCTGAATCGGCGCTACGTCATCGACTCGCAAACGCTAACCGACGCTAATCGACGCTGAAAACGGAATTGAAAGGGTACACAAGGCTCCCATGATTTGCTGCCGAAGGGAACGGGCGGGGCGGAAGGACTAGAGTCACTGCACCGAACTTGCAGACGTGCTGCAGCGGATTATTGCGTAGATTTCTGTCAACACCAAACCCCGAGACGGCGAGCGAAAAACGAAATGGACTTCACGTGGGCGGTTAGTCTCCATTCCTGGCCAAAAGAGACCCGCACGGAATTCCCTTCGAAATCGGGAACGAAACTCTCCAAAACAATCCGGGCCCATCCAATTGTTTTCCGAACGAACTCCGCTCTGCGATGTTGGCGCCATGACAAGAGGCAGCCGGACGGAGGTACCCAGGCATATCTCTCACCGTGAGAAGCCACGGCGGGAGGTTTCTGTTGGCCGTGTTCGGCCTCTGGGTGCCTTTACTAAGCCCAGGAACCGTCAAAAGACTGCTCTGGATGAGAAGCCGGTCCCCGGGGAAGGGGTCCAGATCTCAGGCGGTCCGCGTGGTGAGAAATCACGATGTCGGGGGTCTGGGAGGGGCGGGGCGGGAGCGAGGGGAGGGGCGGGAGGGAGGGGAGGGCAAAGAGGGACAGAAGAAGGAGCACAGCGTAGAAGCGCCCAACAGAGCAACGGCAGGAGGAGGAGAAGCGCACTACCCTCGTCATCTCGCTCACCCTCCTCCTCCTCCTCCTCCTCAGACTCCTCCTCCTCATGCTCCTAATCCTCCTCCTCCTCCTCCTCCTCCTCCTCCTCCTCCTCCTCCTCCTCCTCCTCCTCCTCATCATCATCATCATCATCATCATCATCATCATCATCATCATCATCATCATCCGCCTTTTACCCCTTATCCCTAGCATAATCATGATCCTCCTCCTCCTCCCCACCACCACCTCCGTCCGCCCACACCACAAACACAAACACAAACACAAGCACACTCACACTTGTCATCATCATCATCATTAGCAGCAGCATCATCAACAACAACAACAACAAAAACAACAAAAACAACAACAACAACAACAACAACAACAACAACAACAACAACAACAACAACAACAACCACAACAACAACGACAACAACAACAACCACAACAACAACAACAACAACCACAACGACAACAACACCAACAACAACACCAACAACAACAACAACAACAACAACGACAACATCAGCAACAGCATCATCACCACCATCACCACCACCACCACCATCATCATCATCAGCATCAGCATCATCGTCGTCGTCATCAGCAGCAGCATCAAAGCATCATCAGCATCATCAGTACCATCAGCATCAACGGCAGCGCAGCAGCCTCATCATCATCATCAGCATTATCATCATCGTCATCGTCATCACCATGATCATCAGCATCATCGTCATCAGCATCAGCATCTTGACCATCATCATCAGTCGCAGCATCATCATTATCAGCATCATCGTCGTCGTCATCATAATCATCATCAGCATCATCATCGTCGTCGTCACCATCATCATCACCATCATCAACAACATCAACATCATCATCATCATCATCATCATCATCATCATCATCATCATCATCATCATCATCATCATCTAAATCGTCATCTTAACCGTCATCATCATCGTCGTAGTCACCGTCACCACCACAACCACCACCGCCACCATCATCATCAGCAGCAGCATCGTCATCCTGATCCTACTCACCATCAGCATCATCACAATCAGAATCATCAGCAGCAGCATCGTAATCATCATGAGCATCATCATCATCGTCGTCGGCGTCATTATCAGCAGCAGCATCAACAACATCGTCAGCATCAGCAATGACGTCATCATCACCAGCAGCATCAGCATCGCCACCATCGTCATCATAGTAATCGTTCTATTAATCGTCATCATCACCATCGTCGTCGTCACCGTCCCCGTCACCACCACCATCATCAGCATCAGCATCAGCATCGTCATCATCATCAGCATCATCATCTTCATCAGCAGCATTATCATCACCATCAGCATTCTCATTAGCATTAGCATTATCATTATCACATCAGCATTATCATTGTCATTATCGCTGTCGTCGGCACCAGCTGCAAACAGCATCGTCATCCCAGTGTCTTCCTCTTCCCAAGCGGGAGGAGGGCCGTGTCACACAGCCTTCCATTCCAGAAGGGCGTTCTCGGGGGGGTCCGCAGGACGCACGGGTCCTGCACCCTCTGAGAGGTCGTGGAGCCAGCATGAGGAGGAGAGGAGGTCTGAGGGGGGCTTCCAAGGAGCTTCAAGGATCCGCCACCGCAGCGTTGTCGGCACGGTGCAACATGATCTGTTCACTGCCTAGTAGGGTCCCTGGTATTTTTCTAAAGGCGCCCCCCCCCCACTGGCACAGCTCACCTGGAAACCGCTCTCTACAAGACGGGCCAGGACCGCCCTAAGAGAGCCGACAAGATTGCCCCCACTACAAGCCTACGAAGGCCCAAAGACCCTGTGAAGGCTGCAAGATGCTACCAGGAAGCCCTAAGAGGCCCCAAGAGGCCCTGAGAAACCTCAACTAAGCATCCAAAGAGGGCTCCAGCGAGACCCTCAGAGATCAAACATCAATGAGCAACTGCTGCATTCCGATGTCTATTGCGCCCGATGCTTTTCGGTTGGAGACGGCCCAAACAGAACCCCCCAAGAAGGCCCAAGACCGCCCCACAAGAGCTCCAAGATAGCTTCAAGACCCGCCAAGGCTGCTCCAAGGCGGATGGTCTCATCCAGCCCCTTCGGGGAGCTCGGGAGAACCATCACGCCCAAGACGGACGGAGACCCCAAAGAAGCAACCAACAGGTTCCGAAAAAGCTTCTAGGTAGCCCTCAAGAGTCCCACGAGAGGCACCGACGAATTCCCGAATGAGCCTCGAAATTCGCCGGCCCAACGGGCCAGAGGCGTGCTAAGATCTCCGGTAACTTGTTAACAATATTTCTAGTTCGCGCGCGCGGAGCGGCCCCTGGGGGCCCCCGGACGAAAAGTACCCCGGCAAGGTCCCGAGAGAAGCCCGGGAGAAGCCACCAGACCACTCCAGGGGAGGGTATTTTTCGACACCCCTCACGAGGATCGTGGCCTCCGAGGGGGGAGCCGCAATCGACTACCCCCAAGAGCCCCCCAAGAGGCCCTGGGGGCCTCCAAAACGCCGCCAAGGAGCCCCAAGAGACTCCCAAGAGGTCCCCAAGAGGCCCCCAAGAGGCCCTAAAGAGGGCTCCAGGGCCGGCGGCATGAGCGAAGCGATTAAATAACCGCCAAAACGAAACGCTGCAACCATGCAAGGTTGTGGCTACGCCACGCTACAGCACAGAAGAACCGATATCCAAACTGTCCCGAGATCTACCGAAGCTGTCCGACGACATCGGTGGAACCGCCCTGCATGAATTCCGATACTGCGCTGGCACGGTGAGCGGAGCTTGCCGCGGGAAGCTGGACATTTACAAGTCCAGGGACGCGTGCGTGTGCTTCAAGGGGGGCATCCATAGAGCATAACATGCTTCGAAGTTGCACCTATCTGTCTTTGTATATGCATATATGCGTACACAGAGGAATTACACTCAAACCAAAATACGAAACGTTAGTGCCCCCGCGAGGTCCGAAACTTTGTGTTGGAGACGCGGAGGGAGAGGAGAAGGAGGGGGAGGAGGGACGAGGAGAACGCGGAGAAGAGGAGGCGGGAAGGGGGAGGGGAGGCTGAGAGAGAGGAAGGGAACGAGGGAGAAATAGAGGGATGGAGGAGGGAGAGAAGGAGGGAAGAGAGGGAGGGAGGTGGAAAGGGAGCGGGAGAGAGAGGGAGGGAGGGAAGAGGAGAGGACAGGAGAGAAGGACAGCGAGGGGGCCATGGCCCCTCACAAATGCATCAGCTGGTCTGCCCAATGCGGTCGTGGACAATTCGGTCGCCGCTTCGTGGCGCTGTCGCTGACTCTTCCGTGCCAGTAGCATACTCCGTACGCCCACTCACCCACACTGCCACTGCCGACTTCCCGTGCCCGCTCAGCGTGCCTTGTGCGTAGCATGCCAGCCCAACCCCGCTGCACAGCATCCAGATCGACGCATCCTGGCCACAATGTGCGGAAACCCGACGGGAAATACTAAGAATGCGTCGAACCAATCCCATCCAAGACTCCAAATCATCGCTGCTGTTCACCGCCGATCCCTTAATTTCATCGTCGCCTTGACGCTTTGCGTTGACAATGGCCCTTACATCATTCGCATCATCTTCCGCTGGGTTGTACCGCAGTACCTGTGAAAGCCGAAAGCTTGTCGCACGATGTTTTCATGATCAGGACTGGAACTCTTGTCTTATAAGCGGGACTGTGTCTCGGCGGCATTGATGTGTACGTCTGTCTCTACGCACGCAGGCCTCTTAAATGCAAATTGTTGTCATGAACACTTCTGGCTGCCAATTAAACGATGATGTTAGTACTTCGACGTCGCCCACAATGGCTTACTCCAGAGATGTGTTTCGGGCGTCGTGATTCCCTGTTGTCTGATATTTGGGTACTCTGCGGATGTAGCTTCAGACCTATGCGGCCCTGGGCGGTCTTCGAAATACCTGCGTGAGAGACGTCTCGATGATGATGACATTGTCCGCGAGCGATGTATTAGCCCAGAAGGTGTTATTGGCAGCACGGAAAAATATCCATGCATCCACCTTTCCAATTACGCCCGGCATTGACTAAGCAGATGTCCGGCTTACCAAATGAGTCATCAATAATGCGGGCCGCCATGTGATGCAAACTGTAAATGACAAAAGCTCGTTTCAAAGCCACTGTGGCTGTCCATACCGGACAGATTTCTTGAGCCATCACCAATGTAAATGATGTATCGCATGTGCTGAATTGCTTGCGAAAGCCATTTGCTCCAGCGGTTGCTGCTTTTCGAGAAATGGCAAGAGTCGGTTGCGCACCACTCGCGGAAAAACTTGCTCATCAGACTGGTGATTATCAAACGGTCAGTATGATGCAAACTTGCGTCGCCGGATTTGGACCATATCTTGATCTGTGTATGGTTCTGAGCCGATGGTATGAGCATGCCTTGTTTAATCGTATCATCGTGCAGACTCAACAGCGAGTGCACCAGACCCCAGCCACCACTCTGAGGCATATCAACGACTATACCGACGGCGTCGGTCGACTTGCCGAATATCAACTGTCTTAGCCCTGTCTCCAACTCGTCCATCGCAAAAGGAGAAGTCGTTTCATGTTTATATGAGCCTGCGTGTGCCTGCTCCCGTTGTTACCCCGTGCTGTGGTTATCCCTCGCTGCGTTCGTACACCGTGTGATTAGAAAAGAACACGTTTGCCACTGATGGCACGCATCGGATAAGTCAGCATGCAGTTCTGCAACTGGTGATGCACCTGGTCTTGACTAGCACTGGGCTGTTCTCCAAACTGTGCTGCGTACTTTGGACATGTGTTGTCAACTGCGATGCACAGACGCGGTTCACGCTCCTGCGCTCCAGGACACAGCATTGGGGACTCTCTTTGCGAACGTCGAGGACATGGGCAAGAAGCAGATCCTCATTGAGAACTGGATCCGCATGGGGCGTCCAAGTGCTCGCTGTTTGCCAGGCACGGCCCGCCGCCCTCATAGACTCGTCCTGGCATGTCCAGCAAAGACAGTTGCTGCTCCACGCCGTGCAGAGATTCCTGCGGAAACGAGCTCTTCGAACGCGTCCCAGGGCAGTACGAAAACTGGCGGTCATGTCCGTCAGCGCGGGTGCACCTGGTGACGGTACCCTCGCTCGTCAGGATACGAGGCGGCCGCTGCAAGGTGGAGCTCCGTAGCGCAGGGAGGGCAATGGTGGGAGAGAAGGAATTGCAGAGGATCCGATGGCCCCGGCAAGGAGGAGGTGGGGGAGAGAGGGAGAGATTAAAGGAGAACGTAGGGCGGAAGTGGAGGCGAGGGGAGGGGAGGACGAGGGGAAGCCAACGCCCGCAGCGGAGAGCAGCGGCTGAGAATTGCCTGCGTAGAGCACGGACGGCTTGGCGGCGCAGTGCTGAGATCGCCGTTCGCTGCTTGGCTCGGCACTCCGACGACTCGTCCTCGTCGGCGCTCCCTTCGCTCCCTGCGTCGGCCACTCATGCGGGGCACTCGGGCGCCCAGGAGCTGCACCCTGCGGCCCCGGGCGCGCAGCGGCGGGGTCGCGGCGGGCGGCGCTCCTCTGCGTGGCAGAGCTCGGGCACGGTCTTGCCCGCCTGGGAGCCGTCCGATCGTGGAGGGTAAGGGGGAAAATGAGACAGAAGCGGATA